ATATATAGAACCACCACAGCATCACAGGGTTGGTTTAACTATTTCCATTTCACAAATTAGGAATTCAAGGATCTGCAAGATTAAACAATTCCTCTAACATTCCTGAAGTTACACAGGCGGAGACACTCTGTGTTGGTCTGGTTCCGATGTCCACGCTCTCACCCACAAATGTAATTATAAATATATTTGAACAATTGTCAATCTAAGATCCTGAAGAGGCAGAGAGAACTGAATTTGACCATTGGGGCAGCAAGGGCAGCAAAGATTAATTGTAGGGAAATAAAGGGACTTTGGATAGAAACTTTTCATTGTAGTAATGATTTATCTAAACAGAGACTGCTCAAGATTCTCTTCTTAGCCTACATCATTTAGAGTTTGATTGCTGTTGGCACAAACTCTAGGAAAATTTGGGTAAGAATATATGTACTCTGTGTAAAGAGTTATCCAAAATCAGCAATAGGATATTAAGCAGCAAATAATTAAACAGAAAACCCTCTGAGCTCCTACAGTCAAAGAGGGGTTAAATGATGTCTCTCGGGATATGCTTTGGTGTCTATAAGTTTTCAAAAACAGTTTGGACATTAGTGACTTTTCCTCATTGTCATGTTCCCTATTGTACGGTGGAACAGAAAACATAATTGGCACATACACATTCCAGCTAGTATGCACATGAACAAAGACAGAAGTATATTTTTCACAAAGATTGTTATTGCTTACTTTGTCAATATAAAAATAAATTTTAGCAGTCATTTATCCTTGGTGCTAAGTGATTTAATACACTCACTCTCTTCATTCTAAAGAGTTGATATTTGATACTCAGTCACCCAGGAAGCCCTGTCCCAGTGCACATCAGTTTGGAAACTGTTGTGTGGGCAGATCTGCTTACCAAGCAGATTTCCTAGGCTTACCAAGCCATTTCCTAGGTGACCTCTTGTTTACACAGAACCAGAAGATGCCCCATTTCCTCTATTGCTGTGTGAAACATTTCTGATTCACCAGGTTCTTCACAGCAATCTTCACATCCTTGTTTCTGAGGCTGTAGATGATGGGGTTGAGCATAGGGGTCAATACTCCATAAAATAGGGAGATGAGTTTGTCTGAAAGGTTCTGCTTGTCTGCCCCCAAAGGATCCTTCGATTTGGGCTTAGCATACATGAAAAGAATAGTTCCATAAAAAATGACCACCACAGTAAGGTGTGCAGAACAGGTGGAAAAGGCTTTTTTCCTGCCCTCAGCTGAGGGGATCCTCAGGATGGTGGTGAGTATGAAGACATAGGAGACAAAAATGAATAGGACGGGGGCCCCCAGGAAGATCACATTGGCCACCCCCATGCTAATCACATTGATGGAGATGTCAGCACAGGCCAACTTCAGGACAGCCAGGATCTCACAGGTGAAATGGTTGATGACGTTGTCCCCACAGAAGGGCAATTGTACTGCAAGAGAAATCTGCACCAACGAGTTGGCTCCACCTGCCACCCAGGAGCTGATGGCCATGGGCACATAGACAGCCTTGCTCATGACCATGGGGTAATGAAGGGGATTGCAGATGGCCACATAGCGATCAAACGCCATCATGCTCAGCAGCACACACTCTGTGGCTCCCATGGCAAAGGACAGAAACATCTGCACAGCACATCCTGAGAAGGAGATGATTTTCCTAGGAGTGAGGAATCCATCAAGGACCAGAGGAATGGAAGAAGTTGTGTAGCAGATGTCCAGGAAGGAGAGGTTGCCCAGGAAGAAGTACATGGGAGTGTGCAGGTGGGAGTCAAGGATGGTCACCAGGATGAGGACCCCATTGCCCATCAGGATCACCAGGTACATTGTCAGGATGAGCACAAAGAACGTTTTTTCCAGCATTGGCTGATCTGACAGCCCCAGCAAGACAAATTCAGCCACAATGGATTGGTTTGCTACTTCCATTTTAAATGTTGTCTTCCACTCTCAGGAAAACTGAGGATAGCAAACACATTTATAGGGATCGTTATCTGGACATTACAATGAAACTTTTCCAGAACTTATAATTAAATTTACCTATTGAGATGCCAACTTATATTAGCATTCAATGGATAATACTCACTGTTTACTGAAGTTATCTTGAAAATTAGGATTGATCAAAGCAGGGAAAGTGTCCCATAGAAATCTAATCAACCATGATCTATGAAAGAATCATAGTCAGCTCAACAGAGTTAACATACTTGCAGGAGCCAGGCATAGTGACTGATGCCTGTAATCCCAGCACTTGGGAGGCTGAGGCAAGCGGATCTCCATGAGTTCGAGGTCAGCCTTGGCTACATAGTGAGTTCAAGGCCAGCCTGAACTGCATAGTTAGACCCTGTCTCAAAAAGCAAGCAAAACAAATTTAAGGAAACAATATGCACATCCTTTCATATAGGTCCACATGAAAACCATAAAAGGAACCCTGAGGATGTTGAATGATTCCAGAACTGACTGGGGAAGTAGGCTTCTAGGCTAGTCCTACCTGCCTGCCTTTGAATGGTCCTAGTAGTTCCCTTGAGGACTTTAGCCTGTCGCACTCAGAGATGCTGGCTGCTAACATCATCTGACTCACCTCTTGCTCTAATTCTGTGCCTTTATAACAATTTTCCAGTGATAATTCAGCTCTATCTTGAGTCTTACATGGGGAGAATATAATAAGCAGAAGCCAGGAAAATTAGGGTTTATCTAGAATTTATGCTTTCATTTGGCGCCTGATTTATACTGCATTTCTTGCGAGTTTGTGATTCCACCCTCGTTGCACTGCCAGGAATGAGGTTCTGGCCAACAGGACAAGGAGACCCTTATCGAAACTGTTCCATACCCTGTCTCCCTAACCACAGCTTTGGTCCACATTAGAAAATTCAACTTCAGTTTCCCCAGTTGGCTTCTAACCCCTTAAGGAGCAGAAATTAAATCCAAGGACAAATGTCTTTCATGGCTCCTGTGTGACTTTTGGGACTGAACCCTGTGATTTTGGATTTCTGTTTTCTAAGTCATAGCTCCTAATTCAGGCCCTTTGATCTGAGTTGGTCATTAAAGCCCATGCAATGTCATGCTAATGCCGTCTCCACAGCAAAGCAGACAACTCTACCCAGTCTTTCAGAAGGCCTGCTCAAAGGAGGCACTGCATGAGGAATGTACTTTCATCACTGTAACTGTTGACTCAGTGCATTCAAGATCATCTCAAGCCTTGGCTTCTTAGGTTAAAGATGAGGAAACTGAAGCCCAGAGTGGACCACAGGAAGTCAGGACAGGGCCAATTGGTTCCTCATCTTTCTAGGGCTCTTCCCCTCATCACGCTGATTATATTCCCATTCTTGCAGAGCAGGTCTACTGAGAACTATGGGGCCAATTATGAAGTCTTGGTCATCCCCACTCTTCCCAGGAACACTCATGAAAAATGGCATCACACCATTCTCTGAGAAACCCGCCTCACGGCAGAGCTTGAGTGAGATCGAGGAGAGGCCCCTTAGCTCCACACATTGCACCTGTGATCAGTACACTGTTTCTGGCTGGAAAAAATTGCTAAGAGAACCAGATCCAGTTTGAAGCTATTCGCACGCAATTATCAGAGGAGATTAATTGTAGGCATCAGAAATATTTGGGGCAAAAGAGATTTGTTTGAATTACAACCAATTGGAGACTCTGAGACTTGGTGGGAATGTTGCAAAGTACCTCATTTCCCCTCCTCCTCCACTGATTCCACGAAACAGAAATTTTCCATTTTGCTTTGAACACTAAGGTATGTGGAACTCATGCCTCCCAAACTCTTTTCAGGCAATCTTGGTTATGAGAAAGTTCACCCTTATGTTGAGTAAAAACTTCCTTCTTCTAAGATCTTTCCTGTATGTCTGCCCTCACATACATTCTACCCCTTCCCCTGCTGGCCTTGACACGCCTGTCCCCTACAAAGACTTTCAGCCACCTGGAAGCTGGGACCAAGTTCTCACCTTGCATTCCACTTGTCCTTGGATTTTCATCTTTGCTTTCCTCCTCACCTACCTGAAGAAGGTTTGGCACAGAAAGAGTTCATTCCAAGTCTACTGGTGAGGTAAGTGCATGGTGGGGACGGAAACTAATCCAGACAGAAGTCTCATGGCAGAGAGAATGCTGGAAGGCACCTAGGCTTGAGAAGCGAATGTCTTCTTAACTGTCTAACTAGACCATCCCCAGGCTAGCCCTGTCAGGGCTGGAAAATGCAGCAAATTGTGTGTGGGACTAAATCGTCTCTTCAAATTACACAGCGAGGTAAAGGAAATTTGTCTCAGCTGATCATTTTCCTCTATTTCCACACCCGATGAAAGCGCTACTTCAAGCACAACTTGAGAAGCCACTTCCCAGCTGCTCCTGGCAGTTATCCCTGGCTCCCTGGTTCAGCTGCCTTCTACTTTTTGCCCCTTACACTGCCCTCCAGGGCTTCTATCAAGGAGCCATCAAGCTATTTAAACTCTTGTTCAGAGGCTGCCTTTAATCCCAGAAGCAATTTAAAGTTTGTTGAAAGGCCTCATAGGAGTGTAGGGCCTGTGTCCCACAAATCCAATTAGTCAAGTTGCAGACAGCTCTTTGTAAATCTTAACTTTCACGCTAAAGGAATGTTCTGCAGATGAGAAAGTTCCCTTCAGGCACTTGGTGGCCTTCCAGGAAGTACAGGTGGAAACTATAGTCTCACTGCTTTGAACATGATGATGTTATGTCTGTCTGAGGGGGTTCTGTCACTTGTCTATGCAAAGCTAAGTGTCAAAAAAGAGGACAGAGCTTTGCTGTGGCTGACACAGACACACTGGTGATCCAAATGTTCCCCAAATGGCTGGCCTTTCCTGCAGTTCCTCAGCACAGCTGACCAGACCTGGCCCTGCATTTGGAAAAGGCAACAAGAGAGGTGTGCTGAGGCCAGCAGAAAGCACTGGAAAGAGCAGAAACGACAAGGTCAGTATGATGAAGTCAGTGTGACTGCGTGGAAGCTAATGTGAGAGACCTGTCAGGAAAAGACTTTAAGGGCTGTGGGACAGATCAGAAATAAGGAGAAAGGATGGCCGGGGATGGTGGCACATGCCTGTAGTCCCAGTTATTGATCCACTGGAGTGGGAGGACCACTTGAGCCAGTGATTTTGAGACTAGCCTTGGCCCAGCTTCAAGGTCTCTGAAGGTCTTTTGTATAGGACAGGGACCAAGCATGTACAGGGAGTTGAGGCTAAACCAAGGACAGAATTTTAAAACTAATACAGAGAAATGCAACCAAAACAAAAGGAGACAGGGAGTACTTAAACTAGCACAGAAAACCAGCGACTAAAGGGTTGTTTCATTAAAACATTCACCAAATATCCCCTTTATTCTGTGCCAGGCCTGGGGTGGTTACTGAGGGTAATGAGATAAATAAGAAATCTTACACTGTGATCTTTCAATGTGATGGCATGTGCCTATAATTCCAGCACCCAGGAGGACTGAAAGTTTGGGCTAGGCAATGTAGTAATTTTTGCGACATGCTCTCTTAAGATTAAAGAAAAAAAGGGCAGGGGATATAAATCAGTGTAAAGGTCCTGGATTCAATCCCCAGTACTGCCAACAAAACAAAACAAAAACTTTCTTTTTGGAAATTGAGGAGTACATGGATTAATGAACATGAGGGTTTAGGTTAATAGTGGGTCACTAATAGCAGCAGTAGTTGCTATGTTTTTATAACGGTAGTACTTTTAACCAGTCCCCCTTTAACCAGCTTCCTTTGCAAAACATGAAGACCAACAATCAGGTCAGGTTAGAGGCTGTCCAACCTGGGAGGAACACTAGGCAGCTCTTTTGTTTTCTTTTTTGTTGGGGGCGTAGTTTGAGACAGGGTCTCACTATATAGTTGAGACTGACCTGGAACTCACTAGGTAGCCCAGACTGGTCTGGAACTCACAGCGATCCTCCTGCCTCAGCCTCTCAAGTGCTGGGATTACAGGGATGCGCCAACACGTCCGGTTTAGCTCTTATGTTTCCTTCCCTACCTTGCTCAAGCCAATTGGTAATCTTGTAGTTATATCAATATAATTTAATT